ATTTCGTCGAGTCATCATACACATCATGCACGCGTCAAACCCCCGCGTGTTGAATTCCCTCGAATCACTATTTGTACACGTATCGAATTTACACGCGTCGAGTCCTCATATACCGAAACACCATGTGTGGAATTACCACGGATCGAATTTTTACGCATCAATTCTCCGCGTATCGAAACTTCACGCGCCAAATCGCCACACCGAATGACCATGTGTGGAATTCTCACGCGTCGAATCCCTCTTGACTTACAAATTCTTCCTTTATTATAATTGACTTGGAACGTTATCGATACGTCTATACTACAAAGTTTCATCGTTCTTCATACAAACGACATATCTAAAGACGAGACAACCTCGAGGGCTTTGGTGACATTCCCAAAACGCGAACGACACATTTTCTGTCTAAAAGCGATTTCGTATTATGACACTTACTGCCACAGTGTTGGTATTAATCGTATTCGCGGATCGTCAAAGCAGACGCGCAGTCTGCGGTCAACGCGATTGGCAACCGATAATCAAAGCGCACAATCAATTACGGGACTCCGAACAGGGAGTTAATTAACTCACCGAGAACTCGCTGGCAGCCTGGATGCTAACTCATAAAGGTAACGAGCGGTGAAAGCGAGGACTCGAAGACGTTTGTCAGGGGATCGCAGCGAGCGAAATCGATGGATCAATGCACTTAATGCAGAATAACGTTAATTCGCCGTTTCTGCGCCTATCGTGTCACGGAGACGCGAAGGCTGTTTCGAGGTAACTTCTGACGTGACACATTTCGCGGTAATGGCCTGTGCTTTCAAACCGACAGAATCGCAATGTGGGCTAACAAGCCTGACTCGTCGCGCTAATAATGCAGGATACCAATTTCAAAATGAACCGATTGCACGATTAATAACTGTCGTCTGGTACATAGGCATTTTCATAGCGAAACCGAAGAAATCCGAGCCTCTCGCGAAATCCGCGATATTGTCTCGACTGCGATGTCTCCACTTTAGACGTAGCCATATTTTATGTCGCGACTGTCGTGAAACAAGTTTAATATTCGCATATGCGATCGCGCGGCATCCCAAGAGGAGGTTATCATCGAGCGAATACGACATTATCTCGCGTGTAATCTAGGCGTGCAGCTTCTTAGCCATTAGAAGCAGCGTCGGCTTACGGGTGTATCCGGTAGCTGATTATTATTAATGGACTGAACGCAAAGGCGACGGGGGAACCGGATGTTGACGTTTACGAGGCCTCCCACAAACGCCAAACCACGCATTCGCGGACGTTAATGTATGCCTCAAAGAACCTTAGAAAACTCCCTTGTAGAATACACGAAAAACACGATATCGATACGTCCAGATATTAGCAGACCGCCGAAGAACTAAAAAGATTAACAAAGTTAAATCCTGCTCGAAGCAAACCGGGTTTTAAAAAGCGAATGAAAAGACGAGATAGAGAAGCGTAATTTTCGACGAATTAGTAAAGTTGATGAGCTTTACCGAGTAATGCATGCGCATATTTCAATTTTCGGCGTTTTTAATTCGTCCATTGAAATGTACGGTGAGACGTGCAACGATGCGAATATATGATTACACTAATTAGTGTAACGATCCCGATACGCATGAATACGAGCAAATTTGAACAGGATCGATTGGCAGGAATACCTATTTCGTATTGCCTGAAAGACTAAAGTACGCGCCGATCGATTCACTGGTTACTCTCTTTCGCGGAGGACAATATCGTTCCATCACGACTAACGAGTTTTTAATTTTCAGTTTTTAACTGAAAAAAAAGCTTCACCTGATGATTCTGTATCGTGTTATAAAAAAGTTATCGCTGAACCTGGGTAAAAATGCTTCGACAAATTTGAATAACGACGACCGAACTCCATAAATTACGCTTCGTGCAAGTAAAAAGAAAACGAAATTCTGATACAGTAGCCTCGCGTTATATCGTCGCTAAAGATAGAAATATCTTCCACCGATAATTATACTATTACTATAACGCAATTTGGTGAACATGACCGCTTTCAACGTTACAATTAACGCGTTAGCAGCCGTAGGAATGAATTGTTACGACCGGTCGAAATAACGCGAAATAATTGTACCATCGGCAATATTAATTGGCACGTATTCTTCTCGATCAAACGAATCGTTAATTTTATACGTTTTAACGCGAATTCCATGGAATTTCCGGACCAGATGAAGCGTCCACGTATCAAAGTGCCAATTATTTCGTTAAAATATCAGTAAGCGAGGCGATTGTACTAATTTGCATGCACCGACGAACTTTATTTCGAGCTATTTGCGAACGGTCGGCAAATTGCGATCCCGTGTACGCCGTCGTTAATGATAATTATGACAATGATGTCGCTGACGAGAGTACCGACGCCCGACATCGGGATCCTCGACCTACCGATAAATTACAGTTGATCGCCATTCACCGATCTCGTAATCGCACCGAAGAAATAAAAAATAGACGATGACGTTCCGCTCGTTAAATCGCTCGATCGAGAATCTCGTCGAAAGTCGGACGCGTAAACAGCGCCGAAAGGGAAAAAAGAGAGGAGTCGGAGAAGAGAAGTCTGTTCGACGTTGCTCGCGAAACGGGGAACAAATTGTTTGTACGCGGCCGTGTTGTTAATAACACGGCTAGGCAGACCGCGGTATATAAAACCGGAACGTTCATAAACCAACGTCTCTAAGAATAACAATTAGGAGATGAGTCAGGCTGAATGGTTCTGCTGATGAAACGCATCTTGCATAACACGCGTGCTTACAGATTCTCCAGCGATCAAGAATTACGAGGCTATTAGCACGTTTCACAGGAACAACGGAAACAGTCGTATTCGGGACGACGCACGTTATCCTGAATTATTACGAGCGCTAAGGATTAGCATCATATTTTAACCCACGCCTTCTTGTCCTCTTCATCCTACATAAGCTCGAAATTTTGTAAATCTGAAAATTTATCAACTACGAACGAGCGGAGACAGTCATCCCTAGGGATCTACCCAGCCTACATAAAATCTTGTTCCGCATAGGCTCCCTCGGTCCGCAAATGGGATTCGTAAGTCCTTCCTAGACTTTAACTTCCTTCCATCCTGGTAACTCTTCGAGCTATCGCTAGCTCCTCCCAAGGTTCCTCCAAGTTCGAAAGCAAACAGCGACGGACGGTAAGAAGCGTGGATTTATCGCGCGAGGGCGACGGCCACGGAAGAATGCTGCTTTTCGTCGGACCGCATCGAGCAATTACTCATTATGTACATAAACAGCGAGCGTGTACGTATGCCCGACGACGGTTAATTTGGTAGAGGTTTGCGGTGGTGCGGTCGTGCGTGTGGTAACATCCAGCCAGCTGGCCGGACGCGTCTCTCGTCGTGGCTGGCTGTTCGCTCGCGATCGAGCCCTCGATCGAATCTTGCTTAACGCGAATTCCATGGAATTTCCGGACCAGATGAAGCGTCCACGTATCAAAGTGCCAATTATTTCGTTAAAATATCAGTAAGCGAGGCGATTGTACTAATTTGCATGCACCGACGAACTTTATTTCGAGCTATTTGCGAACGGTCGGCAAATTGCGATCCCGTGTACGCCGTCGTTAATGATAATTATGACAATGATGTCGCTGACGAGAGTACCGACGCCCGACATCGGGATCCTCGACCTACCGATAAATTACAGTTGATCGCCATTCACCGATCTCGTAATCGCACCGAAGAAATAAAAAATAGACGATGACGTTCCGCTCGTTAAATCGCTCGATCGAGAATCTCGTCGAAAGTCGGACGCGTAAACAGCGCCGAAAGGGAAAAAAGAGAGGAGTCGGAGAAGAGAAGTCTGTTCGACGTTGCTCGCGAAACGGGGAACAAATTGTTTGTACGCGGCCGTGTTGTTAATAACACGGCTAGGCAGACCGCGGTATATAAAACCGGAACGTTCATAAACCAACGTCTCTAAGAATAACAATTAGGAGATGAGTCAGGCTGAATGGTTCTGCTGATGAAACGCATCTTGCATAACACGCGTGCTTACAGATTCTCCAGCGATCAAGAATTACGAGGCTATTAGCACGTTTCACAGGAACAACGGAAACAGTCGTATTCGGGACGACGCACGTTATCCTGAATTATTACGAGCGCTAAGGATTAGCATCATATTTTAACCCACGCCTTCTTGTCCTCTTCATCCTACATAAGCTCGAAATTTTGTAAATCTGAAAATTTATCAACTACGAACGAGCGGAGACAGTCATCCCTAGGGATCTACCCAGCCTACATAAAATCTTGTTCCGCATAGGCTCCCTCGGTCCGCAAATGGGATTCGTAAGTCCTTCCTAGACTTTAACTTCCTTCCATCCTGGTAACTCTTCGAGCTATCGCTAGCTCCTCCCAAGGTTCCTCCAAGTTCGAAAGCAAACAGCGACGGACGGTAAGAAGCGTGGATTTATCGCGCGAGGGCGACGGCCACGGAAGAATGCTGCTTTTCGTCGGACCGCATCGAGCAATTACTCATTATGTACATAAACAGCGAGCGTGTACGTATGCCCGACGACGGTTAATTTGGTAGAGGTTTGCGGTGGTGCGGTCGTGCGTGTGGTAACATCCAGCCAGCTGGCCGGACGCGTCTCTCGTCGTGGCTGGCTGTTCGCTCGCGATCGAGCCCTCGATCGAATCTTGCTTGCTATTATGGTAGGCGAATCGCGAGCTAGATTCACGCGGTTCCTTAGTAGCCCGATCGCCTCCACCGTGAACGGATTCTCGAGTTCCTTCGCCTCCGGGTTTCCTCCGACCTCCGATGGCTCCGCGAATTCTCGCCAATCGAACGCCACGGACTTTCGAACAATACTGACAACCTCGATCAGGCGGTTAGAACAATCGAATACATCGCAGAATAGATATAATAGTATTTCTTTCTTCTTTTTCTTCCGTCGTGCGTGGTAAAAAAACTCTCGATCAAAGCACCGGCCGAAGAGACGAAGAGGAGTAAAGGAATTTTTTGGTGGCTTGCGGTATGGTGCACTACGGATGCACGAAAACTGACAGTGGTGGAATCGAATGCTTCGTTGAGTTCAGTGAGACACCACGTTGCTCGATATCCTTCTCTCGTTGCTATTGTTAAGGCTTCTATAAAAGCTGGAACAACGGAAAAAATAGAACTCCTTTTTACCGATGTTCCGCACAGAAACCATTGAACACGGATCGTTCTCGGTAGCCGACCAACATCGATTGTTGTATTTCGGGACACAAACAATGTTAAATTGGTAATTTTCTATGCAGCCCGGTGTTCTATGTTTTGTTTATCCGCCACTAACTTCCTCGTTGAATTGTTTCCGCGGAAATTAAACGAACCAAATACAAAGCAATTAACGCGGTGGTCAATGCATTAAATTGCTGTTGAAAAATTGAAATTCGCATGCATTCTCGATTTACAATTTCTACGTCGATCTGTGACCGATATACGCCAAGCTGCAAAGGAAAAAACAGTTATGTATTGTTCCGTTTGATCCCAACGCGCGTCGTCTAAAAATGTAGTTCCGATACGAGATGGAGGAAAAACTTGAAAAGACACCGCGGAAAGCGTCGAAACACGGCGGGATGAAATTAACGAGAAAGCCTGTCCGCGAGAGAGACAGGATAGGCGAATTACTTTTCTGGCAGCCGTGTTCCATTTCACGCGCAATTTACCGAGGAGGATCCGAGCGAAAGGTCTTTGCATGATTGCTTTTGCAACGCGCCGCCCTCAAAAAGGGACCGAGGGCAAGAAATCGTTAAGCGTATAAACCAATGACAAATCACCCCGTATAGCGTCCATTAATTAGAACGTTTCGCGTAGAGTTCCACCCATCGAGGAAGCAAAGCAATCTCCAAACTCCATTTCGCGTTTTCATTTTCATTTTCTTTTCCTTGACACTGTTTGTTGGGATCTCGGAAGAATCTACGGTGACTGGGTCGCAAATGGCGGAAGAGAACAAAGTTGGCACTATGACGAGATTCGTCGAGATTCTTGCGACCATAGGATCCTTTCTGCTGGTGCTCGTTACCCTCCCGTTCTCGCTGTGCTTCACGTTCAAGGTTGTGCAGGAGTACGAAAGGGCTGTCGTGTTCAGAATGGGACGCTTGAAGGGCGCAGCTTGCGGACCAGGTAAAAACACGACCAGGCAATTTCGCGTTCATTTCCGAGATACGCTTCTTGGAACAATTCTTACGCCGCCGTCTTCGTTCTACGCTTTTAATGGAACTTTTATCGAATTTAATAAGTGGTAACGGTACTCCCCTTTGAATTATTCTATAATTTTTTATCGCCGCTCATTTTTTCTTTTGTCCTGCCAATTTCAAAAATTTTACGATTTACATTCTGTCGGGGATAGCTCCATTAAAATGTACGAACAATTGTAAAATCCAACTTATAATTAATTTTTTTTTTTTTGTAAATTGCTACACATGAAATAGAAATTACTCGACGCACACAGAAAAATATTCGGAACTTGAATGAAATTTTTTATGAAAACTGTTTGCTCAATAATGTTCAATCAACGAACACAGGCAAATTTAATAACCGCCTGAAACTTGTCGACAGAGCGAGCAACAAAGGAAATTTGTTTTTTATATTGAATCTATATAAATACCGCTAATAGAGGGTGTCCAGAATATTCCAACCGAATACTGTTATTTTTCAATCCCATAGTTTACTCGTTTTCGTTCATATTTGTTTTAGAACGTTCCTTCGTTTACCAAACTAATCGAATTTCACGATCTTCCAAATCGAGGCACAGTCCCTCAGGACTCGTTACAAAAAGCTTACATCAAATTCTCGTAAAAAATAAAATAGAAAAAGTTTAAGCCTAAGAAAAATCATGGACTACATAGCAGAAATTTTGTACCAAATTATAATTCTGTGTTTCTAAATTTTGAGTTAACCTGTATATCACGAGCGTAACATATAAATTAATATAATGTTTGGACGCGTTCGAATGTAAACATGTTTAATAAAAGGAGATATTTAATTAAAACGAATATTTCATTAAAATGGATATTTTTTGCCTCGATCACCCAGTGACTAAAACGCGAAAATGTTGTATTTGCGAAGCGCGATGAAAATTTGAATTTATTGATCGGAACAGTATAGTTACGATGAAATCGATGCATGTTACAGGAACATTTTTCGTGATGCCATGCGTGGACAACTGTGTCCGAGTTGATCTGAGGACGGTGTCTTTCGACGTCCCGCCACAGGAAGTCCTCACCAAGGACTCCGTGACAGTGAGCGTCGACGCGGTCGTGTATTATCGCATAAAAGAACCACTCAATGCCGTAATTAAAATAGCTAATTACAGGTGAGCGACATACTTTCGCATTCCGTGATACTGAAAATGTAGAACTTTTAATTAAACGAATATCCCTCGGCGTTGATATTTATTTTTGAATAAAAATATCAGTGGGATAGACAGAGGAAAAATGAATTTCCAATAATATTTTATGTACTTAGAAGACAAAGAACAGAACATTAACGAGGATTTATCGACGTCCTCCAAAGTCGTGTCTCTCTCAACTCGTGTTTTAATATCTGCGACACTTGTAAGACTTACAAGAGTCAATTTTATAGAAGCAAAAGTCTTCGTTATATATAAAAAATGAGGAACAAAACTTGATGCAACGACCTAATATTTTATCCGTGTACGACCGTAGACCGTGCAGAATTTTTAATAACCGTAATACCGTAACCGTGTTTCCCTTTTAACCCGACGGAATGAATGCAAGCGTGCTAATGCGTCGCCTGGGAGACAGAGTAGAAAATGTCCGAGGGAATGCACACGCTATCGTAACAGAGATTTCGTTCGCGTAATGCAAATGGGTCGCGAACGTCCGGCTACCGCTCGTTGAAAAACTCCCTAACACTTATACCACTCGTTTCCGTTGCTTTTCACGCTTCGTTCGTGGCTAAAGGATTCAGAGAAAACGCGATCATCGCACGTTTAACCGTTTGAGCACCACCAATGTGTACATTTACGCCTGTCTTCGCTGTGAAGCGTGCATCTTTTCGTTTTCAGTTTCGTGTCAAAGTAAACCACATCTTTAACAAATTAATGTTCACTCCGAACTTACGTTCATGTAATTCAGTTGCAGCACGTGGAATCTTGTAACGAGTGACTAAAGAGAGAGCCTATGAATAGTGCACCATTCGTGACAAAAAAAATAAAAAAAACAGACGGAATTATTGTTCACGATTTGCTCTCGATTCAGGGACGAAAGTAACGTGACTGCAGTATTGTCGATCATTTTTTTCGTAACGTAAAATTGAAAGTTTATTTGACAATCACGAGAGTGCAAAATTTACAAAACCTTCCTGGGAATTAACTGCCAGCCATTCCTCTATATTTTCGTGTTATCAACCAGCCGATTTTTTGAAAGCAGAAATAAATTTTACCAGGCAAACTTCCCTGGTTATACGAGTATAAAGTTAAAAGTTGAAGTACTTTAATCGTTCAATGACGAAAACAGCTTTATTGAAATGTTAACAAGCGATCGTTTCGAGAGTTCATCTCGTCGAGATAGCTTTCCCCGAGTTGCTTTGAAAAATCTGATTAAATGCGTATGGAAACCTTAATAACTCTGACCGTTCTATTTGTATATACCAATTAATTTTCCTATCTCTGGTTGTGTAACTTTTCAACCAAAAGCTTCTGTTATTTGAACAGCACAGCGTTCCTAGCCGATCGAGAAGCAAATAAAGCTTGCTGAAATCGTGAGAAGCGTAATCCGAAATATCGTTTGATTTCAAAAAATCCGACATTTAGAGGAGGCTTTCAAGTAACATTACGCTAAAAAATGAACGAATTCCGAGTAATTAGGATTATACCGTTACCTGAAAATTTCCCGGCGTACAACGAGAGTGGCCACGTTGACTCAACGTTCAATTGCGAAAAAGCCGAGGAAATAATTAAAGTTACACTCGTATTCATGCTTCGGTTGAATACGAAATGTCACGAGGGAAAATGATTTGTGACGTTCTTGTTTCCAGCCCTCCGTCCACGGTGGAAAAACTGTTCTCTCAAAACCACTTCACTGATATTCGCGAGATTCCGTGTAATTTAGCGCAAACAAACTCGTTGCTCGTTTCAGTCATTCCACTCGACTGTTGGCCGCCAGTACGCTGAGGACGGTCCTTGGAACGAGGAACTTGGCCGAGATCCTATCCGAACGCGAAACAATCTCGCACACTATGCAAACGTCTCTTGACGAAGCCACGGATCCTTGGGGTGTCAAGGTCGAACGCGTAGAAATGTAAGTATCGACCGCAGAAAAATTGCCAAAGTTGCCTTACGAGTCATAATATAGAGAGGTTCTCGCGATCAAGATCCAGTATATTACAGTCTTAGGGGCTTACATCTAGGTTGTACCGTTAAATTAGTAGGAAAAATCCACCCTCGCGTGAACCCTTGGGCTCTTGGTACATGGACTAGCAGAACATGACCCATCACTCCATTAGACTGATACTAACTAGTCTCCGAGATTAACTACCCTCCAGCAGAATCTGCCATGAAAGGAGCAGCGATTGTACATGTCGTGCTCTCAGTTTTTCTAGCGGTGTAAATTATTATGAGAAATACTCCACTTATAAATCCAGAGACTGTTCTTATATTTGATCGGTAGTACAGGATAGAAGAGGAGTATAATCGAGCATAAAATCCGACTTCTGAACACCGCAAACGAATTAATTCCGGTTCACAGGCATCGAACACGATCAAGTTCTCGGTTCCATGATACAGGATATAGTAGTCGACGTTGAATCGAACCTGAGCAAGGATGAAAGAGACAATTACTAGCGAAGCCGAGATAGATCGAGAAGCGACAGCGATCAGGAATTTTTGAAGTTGCCGCAATATCGTGTCTATTGTGAAGCTCGAACGATTTCATCGTGGCTGTCGATACCGTGTCTCGATCGCTGCTATATTTCACCGTCGATTCTTTCCAGTAAGTTCAATGGAGCACGATACGCTTTCCGTGCCGAGGATAAGCTCTTTCTCGCGCAGAATGATATTTATCGTGCTTTTATACATCAAGCATTCGTTGCGATGATCGATCGATTGGCTGTTCCTCACGGCGAATGATTCTCTTCATTGTATTTAACCACCCTCGGTTTTAAACTGAATTTTCCTATCCGACCGAGTAATTCAATGGCAAATTATTTTGTCTCGAGCAGTTTTCTCTTGCCAAATCTTTTGAATATTTATTGATCGCGAATCGTGCTTTCTTCGTGTCCAGAAAATTTAATGTACCAAGAAGTTCGAAAGAGTTGATTGCGAGCACTTTATAAAATTATGAACGAAAGAAAAGGTCGAAGTTCGAACGAAGTTACGATCGTAGAAATCGCGTATCATTTCCAATTGCGAATGGTCGCATTTGAAATTTAAAATACGAGTTCACCCTCGTAGCTTTCATAGCGTCCTAAATTTTTCCTCTAAACTTCCGTCGCTGCGTATCGCAATTAATATCGTGTTTTTACAGAGCTTATTTTCTGAAAAAAATACGAGTATTAGAGAGAATAAAGTTTTCACGCACGAGGTTATACGTGAGGGCGCATAAGCGCGCACACTAGAGAGCAGCCGCGAACTCTCGATGGCTCCCCAAAAAGGAAGAACCCTTTGGTCTCGATGTTCACGAGAACAGGCGTTGCACTAGCCAGACACTAGAGTCGCGGGCTGCTGAAGAAAGCTCGAGTACCTTTCAAAGAGGCTCTTTGCCGGTGTTCCAAAGGGCTATCGAAACCCGACACGACTTTACGCATAGGCGATCGAATTTAGTCAATTTTTTCCCCCGTTTTGATACATGCTCTGCAAGGAAACTTGCGCGATAAATCTCGTCGAAGTTTAGTTCTGTAGAAGTAAAAAACGATGCAAGAAACATTAGGCATCCCGAAATGATCGAGGAGTAGAAAGTAACGTTGGACGTCTATTTATGCCTCTGTCACCTCTACCGAAGAGTGGAGTGCATTTTGGCAACGTACGCGTCGCCGTAAAATATCGCCTCCCTCGTGCGTCTTGTTGTTTTAAAAATGACCAACGTCTAGCGAACGAGGAAACTTGAAAAGCACAGCGAGAACATTTTTATTTTACTCGAATATAACTGGTTCAGGGCTTAAGAGCTTACGCTACCTTTGAAGCTTAACATGCATGCGTAATCTTCGGAACTCCTTTTCACGAAGCGATATAAATGAATAATAACTTTCAAGGGGTTTACTGTAAGTACTTCTAGGATCACGAGAAAAAATATTGTTCCAAGAAAAAAGAAAATTGTCCACATTTAAAATACTGATATAGCAGCGATCACGAAGTTGCCGAATTTTCTAAAGTCACGGTATAAGTCTCGAGTTAGGTAATTTCTAGTAAACTATAAGGTATATTCGATTCAGAAAGGACGTTCGCCTGCCAGTGCAGTTGCAACGAGCAATGGCGACGGAGGCAGAAGCCGCAAGGGAGGCTCGGGCCAAAGTGATTGCGGCGGAGGGAGAGATGTTGGCTTCCCGAGCTCTGAAAGAGGCCAGCGACGTCATTTCCCTAAGTCCAGCTGCCCTTCAGGTACGTTCCAGTCTCGAACATCGACGATAGCTTCGTAATTTCTAACGAACATTTGCCTCGCCTGATTCAGAATCGATTAGTCTCTCAGCGATATCATTTTTTGTTAACCAGCTGCGGTATTTGCAAACGTTGAGCAACATTTCCGCGGAAAAGAATTCGACCATCATTTTTCCGCTGCCCGTCGAATTTCTGGCTTCGTTCTTCACGAGTAATTTCCATGCCAAGGAAATACAGGACACTCCTCAAACGTCACCGGAGCTGCTGCCTTCGAAACAGTTGAAGGTTCATTCGGAAGCTGATAAGAACAAGTTTAAAGCAACGAAGTAGGAAGGTGAGGAATTACGTATGTAATTACGTATCGCCGTGCGTTAGCCACGAATCGGTGCGGAGAGCAAAGAAAAGGAATTTCGTGATCTTCGGTCGGCACGTCGAGTTAATTACAGGCTCTTTGATTGATCGATTAGCAGATATACTTGATCGGAAACCGATATGTTGGTAAGCAGAACTCGACGAGCTTACTGGTCGTCAAAGCGTGCCTCCCTTTAAGTAAATTTCACGATCCCATCCCATCCACGTGTTTCATCCGTGCAAATCGCACGCTTGTCATATTTGTTCGGCTTGGTTTTCTACGTTTTATCTGACGTTCTCGCGCTGTACAAAGAAAATATACTAATTGAACTTACCGATCAAACGATAAGACGACTACTTTAATTACAGGTTATCGAACGAGTGTTGATCGGGAAGGAAATCGTTTAATTAAAAATAATCGAACTCGTTTTCTCCGGTAAAACGCCGGATGAACGAACAAGCAACGAACAGAGAGAATAAATTTCAATTTTTATTAAATTCGGCCGGAGCTGTACTGCTTTCCCTTCCGTTTTTAACAGAACGAAATATCCAGAGGGTAATGTATGTAGAATGTTTTATAAACAACGGAGGAGCTTTAACCCGGACTATTATTTACGCGGGAAATTCTTGTATGAGTTATGGCGCTTGTTAACCGTGCCACGACACATGGGCATAGCCAGGATTAAACAGCTTCCGCCGTTGCGTGAAAAAACTCCGAGGAAGTATCCTGTTAGAAATAAAAGGAAAAGGGGATAATTCATTGTGAACACGGAGATTACGGTGACGGGCTCGAAATCGAATAAATAAACGTCGTTGCCTTGGCACTCTTCTCGTTGCAGAGGATATCCGATGCAAATCTCCGAGCAACTTTCGAAAGTTTTGACGACCAACGATAGACTCGATTAGAATTTTCTTTGCGATCAAAACTTTTAACAAATCGATGTCGTTCGACCGACTATAATACAGAAACGAGCGTTTCGTCGAAAAATGTTCGCGTTCGATGAAACGCGTGACTGTATACGACGATGCAATTGCCGGAAATTGAGTACTTCCGCGGTTTCCGTCAGCAGAAACTAATATTGAAGAGCGTAATTAATAAACACGGTAGCCCGCAGGATATTAATTCCTTTGGCTCAAATATTTGCCTGCGAAATTAATTCGTACTCACTACAGCGAAATGTCACACGGACACTCGTAATCCAGTCAAAGAGATAACCATCGAGATACACAGCAATTATGTTTATAACCGGGAGAGCGACGTTTCGTCGATCATTCGCGTTCAACTTGAACGGCAACTCATCCTTGTGCTCCGCTAACAAAACCGAGCACGAGGATAAATGTAACCGTGAAACACGATTTTCCGAATAAATTGTCTCGAAAGTAAAAGCATGTACGTTTGAAAATATATTCGATGATCGACGTACCTTCGAAGGATTTTCTATAATGTATCTTATGTATATTCCGAATGTTCGTCAAATAAAAACTCGTATAAAGTTTCACGTTTCTTTTACGGCGTTTAACAAATAGTCGTTATAATGAGGTTGTAATTCACGATTAATTAGTGTCGACGGTATCACTCAGAAATGCTGGCTTTTAAAGCGAGCAAACTTTTGTATAACCATCCATCTAGACTTCCCCTAGATTCTTTGATTTTGGAGGAATTAAAGGTACGCGGTGGCGTTTGAAATGCGTTCGTATATTTTTGGCATCCGACGCGAGCTACGACACGAAACGACAAAATACGCGAAAGCTTACGTGCTCGTTAGCGCGAGGCGATGAATTGAAATTTGCGTAGAAACGGGAGATCGGTATTTTAGCGAGCATCGTTTCACCGCGATAACGCACGAACAAGATAGATGGAAAGGGATGTTCCCATTGAAAACGACAGAGGAAATTAACGAGGCAGCCGAGCAAAAAGGCAATATTATCATACGTTAAAGAGAGAATCGTCGTAGCTGGAAGCACCTTTTGAAAAGGGGCCACGGGATACTGAATGCGAAAAGAGAAAACCGAAAGAGACAAGGGTCAAGCAAAGCGTACCGCTTTCAACGAGAACCACGGGGTATGCATTCAACGAATTCGATAACTTTCATCGTGGTTATCGCTGACTGGTGGAAAACGGGTGCTGCTTGTTTTTTGCATTACATCCGGCGACCAGGAATCTCCGGTGATTCAACGAGGGAACAATAAAGCCAGCCCAGAGCCGAGCATTGTCCCGGGGACGAGGTTCGCGACTCGCCTCTTTAATACCCCGTAATTTCTTGGACGATAATTAGCAGCCGCTCGCGTCTCGGACGGCGACGAGGTCGGCTTACGGTTGCAATTAAAAATTTTTTCATTCCACCAAGGCCACCAACCTACAACCCCGCTTTTCCCTTCGTACTTTGCTCGCTTTTTCTCGCCCACGTCTCGCGAAACTGCTACGAACGTACACGTTTTACAAACCTCCCCCCTCTTCGTAGCCGGCGCAGCCAACTTTTCACCCCGTTCTTCGGCCGTACTTATTTCGCCTGAACTCGACGCGAACTTTCCATCCCCGGTACACCCCTTTGCCCTCCTCCGCTGCCGACTAATTTTTCACGGAGAAAATTAACCGTGGAGGTGACGGCCAGGCGAGAAGATACGACGCCGTTTTCAACCGTTTCGTCCAACTGGACCCTAATGGTTTCGCGCACGATGCTGCTTCGACCACGCGAATTTCACCTGCAACCTTCAAATTCCGAAATTGACACCCTTCGATTCGTGATACGATCTTTCGAAACGGAATAAAATATCATAGGAAGGGAATGGTCCTTCGAGAGTAGCGAATACATCGTGTACAATTTGTACGGAGCTCGAAATAATGGTTAAAGTCAACCACCGACAAAACAAGCCCCGTGTTTGAATCGCCTGGCAACTAAAGGGTACGGGTTTCACCGACACGGATGAGTTATCACGTACAACTAACCGTATCGTTACGCGTTTCGATGTGTATCCCACGGAAATGAGATACCGTACACCGGAGAATAATTTTGCCTCACGAAATTAAGGGATGATCACGTTCATCCTCGCTTATCCCCCGACGAAGACGTGACTGGCTAAATAATAGGTAGCTGTTAGCCCGGTTACAGCGCAACAGGCTCGTTTATTCGATCGTTAATCAGATTATTTGACACGATCAAACTGCTACTTTGCTCGCCGGGATTACACGCGCAACTTTTTCGACGTATCGTCTAACTTCGATCGTCAAGGGAATTTAGAATTCTCGTTGTAAAATCGAACAAAATTATTTGTTCCTCGGTGTGTTGCGTTCACGGTCGAAATCGAGCAAAACGAGGGTATAACTCGCTTTCGTTTACGATGAGAAATCGACAAACGATTTTATCGGCGAAGCTCGGGACGAAGGAACAGTGGGTGCATTAACGGTACCGATCAACGACAAATCCAGCTACCTTCGAGCTACCTCGGCGAAAACGTTGCTGCAAATAAACGAACGTCGTCTCTTTATTTGTCGAAAGAGACGATTAATGTTTCAACGGACAGAGACTTAGCTGTCCCAGGGATCTTTCGCGCATCCCCATAGACACGCTCGCGATAGCGGACAATCTTTTTCTCGCCCGGTTCCCACCACGTGCCGTGAAACGTTCCTCCACCTTCGAAATAATTTCTCGGAGGGATAGTCTAGAAATGGGTGAGTTATGCTGTCTGGAGTTTTATGTTTCCGACCATCTCTCGGCTCTACCGTTTCTCGAACTTCCACGATGGCATCGAGCAAGAAAGAGACGTGACCGGGACTTCCCATACAGCTCAACCTTGTCCATTTCTTCCCTTTTTTCCCAACGATGGAGCCAATTAAAAGTTCGCGGAAACGTTCGTCCCTAAACACCCTCGACTTCTTCCCGTCATAGTTATTCCGTCGTCGTTCTTTCATACCGCATCGGAGCTGACAATCGAAGTGTCAAGTTATCCCCAACAGCGATTTAAAAGAGTTAAACAAGATCCACGAGCGCAGCGAATGATTCGATGTACGGGAAAGAGGCGGAGCCGCGGAAAGACCGCTGCGTAATCGTGTTTCGTGTAACGGAACGAAGCATTAGTTATTTAGTGAAAAACGTAGAGAGGTTTCTCTGTATAGTTCCATTAAAAGCACGGAATCGGAGAAAACCCGTGGCAGTGTTCCGAATTCAGGTACCGGTAAAGAAGTCCCCTAGCAGTTCACTTTGTACAAACAAACAACCGGAAGGAGGAGGAAGAATCGAGAATTTCTGGAACATCGAAATAAAGCCGTTGGAAGGAACGCTTGGCTCGGCGTTCCCTCAAGAGTTTTCAGAGGCAGCAGAGATTCCTTCTCGGTCGACGTATTTCCCCGCGGCATTGGGATTCGCGGCACGAACGGGGCATCGCCTTCTGCAACTCCGGAAACAGAAGAATCGAACGGACCGGGTCCGGTATCGATAAGAAGGTAGCCAGTCGGTGCGAGCAAATTGCAAATTGCGGTTCTTCCAGAACAGAGAAAGCTACCCCATAAATAAAGGAAAAGAAATTGGCAGACAGACGAGAGGTAACGCATAGCCCTTCGGGATATTTCGAGGCGAGTCAAAATTTATGCCAGATTTATGATACGGTCCTTGCAAATCTTACTTTTTACGAGTTCCCTTAATACCTAATGTCTAACAACGAAATATTGCGACTTTAAGACGCGTGAGAATGGACCCGAAGCTTCTGCGCGGCGCGAGACTTTAAAGTCCTCTCCTCGTTGATTTAGTGCTATCGATCGCAAAAAGCTTGCCGATATCGAAGACTATTGGAAAATTGAACAAAAGTTGAAACTTCGACTCGTCAGCAGCCTTTCAAATTTCGTGAAATATTTTGTTCGTTCGCTCTAGAACCTGCAATCTACTTCGAGTATAATCGACGCGTCCCTTTAAGAGATCCGTAATGTTTAGAAACGTTCAGAATTAAGCGAAAGAATGGGCGATAATATTCGCAAAAAGGTAGATATATCTCCGGTGGCGAATAGAAGAATTATGGTCGCGAGTCGAATCGCATGGCATAAAATGAAGAGGAACAAAAAACGTGGGGGCGTTTCGTAAAAATGAAATTGGAGCTAGGGGAGAAAAGTCGATGGGTAGGGTGTTACTGCCACGCTGGCTTTCATTATGCAGCCTCTTATAGTTGGCGTAACTCCCGTTGCTCGTAAATATGAATTACGACTGGACGAAATAGCTTTGGCGTACCTTACCGTATCCACGTACGAAAAACTCCTTTCACTTCCCCGCGCCACGACGATTATTTATCCCGAGCCAGGATCATCCGATGAACGAGAATGGCCGTCAACGTTCGCGCAGCAGGCTTTTTCAGGCCGGCCAACAACCACTGGCAGCGGCGAGCTTCAGCAGTGACGAGGCAGGAATTAAACGGGATGGCGGCGAGGCGAAGTGAAACGGGGCTGGAACGATTTGAACGCACTCCAAACGTTCTCTCCGTCGCGATCGCTCCCACTCCACGACTTGTCTATTTTCTTGATCTCTCCTCTGGAAACTTCATCCTGGATGGGATGTTTGAAATGGACCGTTCCAACGGCTCTTCCTTTCCACCGCGTACATTTTTTCTCTTCCACTTTATCAGAGGCACCAGGTGTACCGTAATTAAATTTTGGTGCCTCTTGCAGAGAATAAAAGTCGATAGAGAGAGCCGCGATAGTTCGTCTACCGTCGGGTTCCTTTCTGCCCACCAAATTATACACAGCGTCTCACACCTCGTCGAAATACCGAAATCGAGTCGAAAATCTTGACACGTCGAACAAAGAAGAAATTTCATGCATCGATCCATACCTTTCCGAGCGAACGTTCGATGAACGCTTTCTATCGACCGTTCCTTTCGAATGAATAAAAAATGAAAATTCCGATCGTTATACCGGTACTTACGATCGTAAAACCATGAAGGCATTATACTCGTCCTGTAATACCGCTGCTTTGTGAATTTTCTATTCCTTTTATCGAATTAGATTTCTCTCTGCTTTTTCCTCGATAGCCCAGACTCGAATTGCATCGTCGGAAAAAGGCTATTCTCGCGAGTACGAAAGAAAACGCATGAAAATTATGGAACGTCGTTATTGCCTGGCTCAAATAGAGCAAAGAACGTCGCGGAAAGCAATACTGAAACAGGAAATTTAATATCAAGCGAAATATCGAAAAACAGTGGTCGGAAGGCTAACTAAACTCCATAAACGTAAAAAAAAAAAAACTAAAATTACCTGAAAGCTTTCGCATGATACGCAGCACAATATTGACGAAAATCAATGAACAAATTACTCCTTGCCGCTTTCATCAATTTCATCGATTAATAAAGCTGACAAAGGGGCACGTCCAAAGAATCGATGCCACAAAAGCTCAAAAATCAATTGAAAAATCGAACGGGGAACTTTGAAAAGGGCGATGGTAT